CTTGCATATGCACGCCCTGCTGAGTTTGAATGGGTATTAGGGGTCTTCTGCTGTGATGTCTCCTGCTACAATATGTCTTCTTGAAAACGAATATATAGGGTTGAACGTTCACATCTTCTATGTGTGGACAGGCTTGTCTGCTTCTTGCTATGAATCATCAGTGAAATCTGAATTTTGCTCTCATTTCAATAATCGACAGATGGGTTTTTAGTTCTGGACAAGCCGACCTTACGGTTATGTTACATATTGGCGGTTGGAGAAAGTGTGTTGCCGAGGGATGGTGTCCCAATGAGCTTCTTTGGTCCGAACCAGACGACACAAGGGGGCTTCACTTTGATCAACCAAATGATTGTACTTTGGAAAACAAAAAAATTGTTTTTGTTTGTTTTTCTCAAGTGTTTGGGTTCTACCTGTCTCAATGTTGTACAAATTATGTGATTAAGATTTTTTATTTGTTAGTAATAAATCAGTTTACGTAATATCAACAAAAGACAAACATCAATCCATTCAAAACGAAGATAGTAGTTACAGGGAGATGATATAGTTTTTCTTTATCCTCATTAATATTAAATCAAGAGGATAACTTAGAGAAACTAAGAACTACACAACAAAGTTGATCATTAATTCATTGTTAAAGGGTAAGGCAAAGTGGCCATGTGGTTATGAGCCACTGTCCCAATCCAAAGCTTCCCTTGAACCTCCCTCACTTCACTCACAAGCTTCATTACCTTACCTTGTCTATCCTCAAGCACCTCCAAGACCTTACCTTCCTCGTCGAATCTCGATATCACAGTGTACATTTTCATCCCCATTGTTTTCGCCAGCAGCTTCATCGGTATTGGCAACCGAAAGTAGATGCTCCTTATCCAAGGGTTGTTTGTAAGAACCTCTTGTGCAGGTGTTCTGCAACAGTCTATTGCAACCCAAAACTGACCCTTCTCATTTATTCTTACATTGTCTGGGAATCCCGGTAGATCTGCCACCACCTCAACTTCACCCGTCTTTGAACCCTCCAGCCAGTATTTCACTAACCTGTCAAATACATATTGATAAAGAGAAATAAAAGATTGATTCAGCGATATGAACACAAATTTGAGGCAGAGAAACATCAAGTATGGTGTCTATCCCTGAGTTTGACCTACAACGCCATTTGTTTGGTTATACCTGCAATTGGTAGTTTCGGTGAAGAGAAGGAAAGATTGATCTTTAGAGAGCTGAATTCCATTGGGAAAAGCCAAACCATCCAGCACAATGTGTGTTGTTTTGGTAGGTGGGTCATATCTTAGAAGCCTTCCTGTTGATTCTCCTTCCAATAGTATGAAGAAATGATTCCTACAAAAATTCAAAGTCTAATTCTTATCATATACAATAATGGGAGAAATTGATCTCTAAAAGCAAGAAAAGCCGAGTTTCTGTTTCCCAAACTTACGCTCTGTCATATCTCTTGCTGGTGTCAGTGAAGAAGATGGAACCATTGCTATGGATGTCAAGATCATTGGCAAAGAGTATTGGCTTTCCTTCCACATGAGTAGCTAAAGGCGTAGCGAGCCCTCCTTCGAGACCAACCACTAGTAGACCATAGTAAGCGTCTGCAATGTACAAATTTCCTGTCTTTTGATCAAATCTCAGACCAAGAGGTCGCCCACACAGCTTCTCGTGCTTCCATTGCTTGTTTGTTGTTGAATCCACACCTCTCGCACAAGCCTCCTCTGACCTAACTTGCATGAACACACAACTTCAATTACAAAAACTGAAACAAAGCTCTCTACACACGAAAGAATATATAGTCATACCATTTTGATGTTACAACGGAAAATGTCTCCCATCCGATTTCTTCACCCATCCATCTAACCACCCTTCCATCAGCCAACCCTGTATACGGACCACGACCCAAGCTATCAAACTCTAATGACTCTGGACCAAAGACTTGGTCAACAAACTCCAGTTTCCCGTGCTGAGCCAGTCGACTAAGGTTATCTCTTGGCCAGTTTTCCATGACTTGCTTGTATGGAGCAACCTCATGCTTCACGGGTTTGAACTCACGACCCCCGATTGGACTCATGTGAAAGGGATCGATCACTATGAAAATTACAGACAAAGCAATAATACAGAGAACCGGATGATGAGTCAGCAAGGAGTCATATGTACCATGCTGGCCTTTCTTCTCCATTTGAAGTGCTCAGAGATTGATCAGAAAGCAAGATCACATTCACCTGATCAATGTACAGATTATATATAAAAAAATATAGAGCATTGTAGTTGTGGAGAAGTTAGGGTAATGCAGATCTTGTGAATAAAAATTGGGTTGAAAGTAGGTTCAATAAAAATGAACAACTAGTCAAAAGTGGATCCAAGTTAGATTACTCTGATACAAAATACAATTTCCATGACTCTATTTGAGATAGACCTTCAAAATAACCTTCCAACCCTACAACTACTCATAAATAGAAAACGCAAAACTGTGAATCGGTGATTGTTCAACTCTTCTCTTACCTTCTTTTTGGAATATTAAACAAGACGACACTGCTCTAATCGAAGAGACCTGCAGAAAACTTCATCTAATTACCTTATGAAATTGGAAGAGTGCAAATGATAAAACAGATACAATATATGAAAGAAATACAAGAATATTTGGTAGCATGCTTTCATAATGAAATAAATGTGAAGGTCACAAATGAGGAAACATGTCTAGTGGATGGAATCTTTAGGTAAGAAATGGGACCCTTTCGCAACTATACATCAAAGTATCAAACATATGACAAAGACTGTTCTATTCATCTGTAATGATGTCTAAACAACACTAACTTGATTAGACGAGGAATCCTTCCCCAATCACCACATTATGTAGTAAGCATTCCCACAAACAGTTCAAGTAAAGCCTTAAGGAATTCGATTGGAGCTGCAGAAGCTTGGTTACCAACTCTCAGTCTTCATCTACTACCTCGATGATAAGAACTTTGTTCCAAATACAATATTGACCACGAGGAACCGAATTCAGACAACTTCCACTCCACTAAGAGGAACGGCACTGGCTTGCAAGGTCCGGCCATTTCCAATAAACCGCACTGAGGGTAAAGAAGCATCAGTAAGTGATTCAATCTCGAGAAAACTGAAATCATAAGCACCGGACTTCTTCAAACTAAAAACAAACACCACTACGATCCAACCAAGGATAGTAAGCGCCCAGTAGTTGTTCATACCACCAATCAGACCCCATGATATAGCGTAACCAACCAGGATTCCCGACAAATGTCCAAGAAAACTAGCTTGTGGAACAATGATCGAAGTGAAAATGAGTGACTCGAAAGGCGCAAAGCTAATGGGAAGTGACAAAAGCCCAAAAAGATCAAGCTTTGAAGAAGGTTGCTTCACAGAGAGAATCGTCATCCAACCAAACACAACACAAGAGTACCCAACAGCTGTAACTCTCCTGAAATAATCAATCTTGAATCTACCAATGAGCAAATGGTAAATCCCAATAACCAAAACACCAGAGAACACAACAAGAACAAGAGTGTAATGAAGATAATAAGCAGTTCCAAGACCTAAATGCCCCAACTGTTCAACAACACCAAGACTCCATAAAGCACTCATGTTGAACACAAGATGCAATACACTAATATGTGAGAAAGCAGAAGTAATCATCCTCCAGTAATGCCCTTCAATCGCAGTCTCGTAACTCAATCCAACTTGAGAGTAACCAATACTCTTCTTCTGAATCACAAACCAAATTAAACTACATATCGTCACGATGCAGGTAGTTGCAGGTTTCTCGATGATATCATAAAACAAAGGCCTTCCCATTGCTCAAATTCACTCCTCTCAATCTACAGAACCGACAAGGAGCTTGAAGCGATGCAAGAAACAGAACAGTACACAGATCTGAAATTACGTTTTTTTCTGCGGATTAAACGCAAAGGAGTGACCTTTCAGCTATGAAGAGGCGCCGGATTCACCAGAATGATGAAGGTGGATTGAGAATTGATTCGATTCTTCGAGTTCGCGCTAACTTGTTCTAGATTTTGATTTTGCTCAGGAGAAAAATTCCTCTTTTACCAAATCGAATCAGAGAAACCTTAAGAACCCAAATTTTAGTTTTTGTCGGCTTGACTTATTGTATTGGGCCTATATTTTTGGGCCTGTCACTATCAATTTTCGATCCAGCTGATAAATTTGGAAGAGAAAAATTTGCTTTGTTTATGGGGACTGGGGAGAGTTAAAATGTTCTAATCACTATTAAGTATCATTCTAGAAATATTTATGCAGATTTAAAAAGAATATTCAACTTTTTATTAGTCTTTGACTCTTTGTTAATACATTTCTTATGTAAGGATATGAGTTTCAAGATCATATTGCTCTGTGTACCGTAGATATAAAGGATGACTTCACTCATTCGATCTTAATTGATTTAAAATGGTACACTTCACACACTTAAATAAAGCAGAGTTGTTTTATTTATTTATGTGAAAAATAAACTGAAGTTCATAGAGTATTTAATACAAATGATATAATATATAAAATTGACTACAAAAATGCAAATGTTCGAGTTCTTGTTCTTTTGCAAAGTGAGTTAGTGTGTCTAAGACGACTATTTGAGTATTCAAGTTTCTGCATGATCATATTCTGATTTTTAGTGTACTTAACGAAAGAAGGTAGAGTTCGTGTAATATTTTATCGGCTGGTGTATATTTAAGCTTTGGGTATCTAAGTTTTTTTTTTTTTGTTATTAGGCTTTGTTCCATTGGATTGATCGATAGTTTGATACGATGCAATAAAGATGAAATTTAATTAACCTCTAGCTGCATGATAACACCAAAAATAATGAAAAATTTGTACGGGTTGAAATTCGAAACATGGTAGATCGATCATTTGATAACTAGTCTATTTGGATTATAGTACTACACTACTACTATATGATCATCTTCTACACCTTTGTCTCAATGTCGTTATCGATGAGCTATCAAATTTATGTTCGTTTCATCATTATTGAAATCACACAAAAATCAGCGACGTGTTTACACTATATGTGTCCGTTTCCACTTTATAATTCTCACGACTCACGTTGTTGTTATCTATCAATGAATTTTACATTAACACAAGACAAGATGAGTACCTTTTGTCGTACTGCATACATAGAGCACTTGCGCAAGACACTAATAATATTTTAGTAATATTATTATAAGGACATTTTATCCTCTTTGAAAATTACAAACTACAAAAATATAGATATGTGAACATTGATGTTATCAATATCTAGAGAAATCATAAAATCAATATTGTCATTGAAAAATGAAACTAGTATATTTCATTCACATACAAATATTATTTTTGTGAGTCATTATTTATAAGTAATCCATCC